TCACTGGGCAGTGTGTTTCGATGTGGGAGGCCAAAGTTCTTCCAACAGTTAATAGACCTGTAAAATATATTGGTACGATAAAAATAAATATGGTAGTTCTTGTGGCGAGAGTTTCCTTCCAGTGTTGCTTTTAGCATTCTGGCGTACTTCCCAAAGAATGCTGTATTAATGATTCGTACGAATATTAATGTTACCCAAAAGGAAGCATTTACCTCGTATGCCTTTTAGGAGAGAGAGCCCTGAGAAGCTTAGCTTTATCAGGCCTGAAAGTGTATCTTAACTATGAGAGGGGAAAAATAGCTACGAATGTTCTTCTGCAGGCTTATTCACGTCTGTCTTGAGAAAGGCAAGTAAAGAAGCCTCTGGTGCTTCCACAGAGTCTGAGATCTTTGGTGAAATTTGGCATTATAACTCAAGCTGAGGCAAGACGGTTTTCTACAAAACTTCTATGTAGCAATTTCTGTTCTGCTCCAAGTGAAGCTGCTATGTTTTGGAGTCTTTGCACCGAGGAAGGCCTGTCCCACTGTGAACAGTGTGGTGCTGTGGAGGTGCTGGGTGCTAGGCATGGCTCACAGGCGTCCACGTGAAAGAGAAACATTTCCCTTGGGATCAGAAAATTGGGATTTGAAGTTCAGCACCTCCCTCATTCTCATTAGAATGCCTTGACTGCTGGGCCAGGGGCTATTTTGAGCTGTAAATTGTGTGCTGACTCCTAGAGGCTTGTTTGTGCATGTATATGGGGTTTTGGTTTGGACTCCTTTTCTACTGTTATTGCTCTGTCTTGCTTCAGCAATTCCATGGTGATCTTAAGAACTCTTTCCTGATAAAAAAACTTGTGCATGTGGTGGTTGTGATTTCATCTTTATTTTCCGTTACCTGACAGGCGTCTGCAAAAAGCTTTGGATTCAATAAATTGTCATTTCCTGGTGGAAAGATTCTGTATTTATAAAAACAAAAGCTGACTAATTATCCTTTAACTTCTTTTGGGCTCTTTTCTCCCTGTGTAAAGTGAAAGATAAAGCCCAATTAGAAACATCAATTAGGGAGTTATGACTTATGGTGCAGTGCTGCAGGGACTGTAAGTGATGTCTTTGCTGTTATTAAATGAAGAATATGAATTGCCTTTCACTTCTCTGTGGCTGTGCTTTATGCAGAGTAACTCCTAAATGCATTTTAAAATGAAACCTACCAAGTGTCTCTTGGCAAATACAGCCTTTTGAAAAGTATAACTGTGCATGTTTTATACGGTAGCTTCCTTCTTCAAATACAAGAACGTTGCTCTCATACTTGCTGCTTCTGTAAAGGAGTCTGTTAGTTAAGGGAGCCAAGTGCAGAATTACTGGAAAGGACACCTCAGCTCCCCCAGGTTGTGGACCAGTGTTACATCTCATGGTTGTAACTGTGCAATCTCCTTTTTATCCAGGGCAGGCATGGTCCTGATATAGGAATATCTTGCACTTCATATAAATTCCTGCAAACTAACAAAAATGCTTACAAGATTTAAGCATCTCAGACCATCAGGTTTCTTCCCCTTTTCCTTCTTCTCACACATTTGTCTTTAGATTAGTAAAATACACTTTTGCATATATTTTCAAAATTCATCCTAAGATGATGCTGAGAGAGAGATATCTTTATGACTGTATTTAAATTTTTTTTTTAAAGAGAGAAGGCGAGAGATCCACCAACCCAAGTCCCTGAGCAAGACTGTCACCTGGGGCTAATAGTTGCAGGCCCAGGAAACCTTTACATTTCTGTGTGTTACTGTCTGGTGTCCAGGAAGATCCTGATGATTCCGATTTTCTTACTCTAAAGAGAACTGAATTAATGCTACTGATGTAAGTGTCGACATCTGAATATTATCAGCCTGCGAGAAGCAGCCAGGTCCTGGGTTTGTGCAGTTTAAGGCTCTGATATGCGAGCGGTGGTGCCTGCAGCTGCAGGAGCCGGTGTTCTGCCCACCCCAGCTCTGCACAGGAAGGGTGACATTTTCCCTGGCGAGGATGCCCCGTTGCAGAAGGGTGACATCTTAGCTCTGTTAGAGCTTGTGCGTCAGACCTCTAGGAAACGTTGAATTAGAGTAAGGGTGCGTGTGAGAGCTGTAACCCAGCGCTGACTCCAACAGCGCTAGGTCTCTCAAAAGTGAGGCCAGCCATGGTCACGGCAGTGCTGGTGGAGAGGCTGGGGCTAGTGGGTGATGCACTTTTTACCCCTGCCCATGTGAGAAGAAGGTGTTTTCTACCATAAAGAGGAGGTTTTGTCCATGCTTTCCCTTCCTCTGCCGGTGACAGCATGCCTGCCTCCCGAGAGCTCCCATCCACCCCATGGGCTCTCAGCTGCAGCATGGTCCCTTGGCTCAGCAGCTCTCCTCTGCCTCTGGCCCCTTCTCCTTGCAGTCACTGCCTTCAGATCTGCCTGCCTGGGAAATTTTGGGCTGGCTTTGCCTAATAATTGAGACAAACGATTGATTGCTGGCCCCTTGGGCTAATTGCACATATAATCTATTCTTTCCTCTTCTCCAGGGCTCCTCTTTCCACAGAATAAAACCCAACCACAAAAAAGCCACAAAAAAACCAAGCAAAGAAACAGACTTTGCTGTTTAAATGGGAAGAAATAAAGGGCAAAAAGAAGGAGAGGCCAGAGCAATTTTCTACACTCGTTCTTTCCAGATGCGCTTACTGATGCTATAAGGAACATTTGCTTTTCTCTGTGAACAGCAGACCTTCCCATCACTGGGAAACTAAACTAAACATTGAGAACTGCTCTGTAGCATTTCATCCCAAAAGGATGCTGTTGCAGCATTACTGTATAAGACTGACTGCTTTCACCTTCTAGGAAAAATAAATCCTTTGCTTTTTGACCCCTCCTATAGTTCATTGCCATTGCTATTTGCCAGGAACAGTCCTCTGGTTCTTTTGCTCAGAGTGACTGTCACTGCCATCATATAATTACATGCTAATTGTATCAGATAAACACTACTGGGAACCTAGTAGTTTAACCAATTTTCTGTAGCCATTTTCGCACATACACATACATGAGAGTTAACTTGATTTAATCTGGAGTGAAACTGTGCTGATCAGTTCTGGAAATAAATAAATGGTTGTTAAGGGTAAATGCCTGTTGTCTGCTTAGGAAGGAGTATACTGTTTTGTTTGATCTAGTTGTGCCAAAATTAGTCTTCAATATGATATGTGTTGGGTTTGACAAGCAACTTCAGTTATTTATTTCTGAAACACTAAACAAGTAATAGCAGTTACAAAGTCCTTGTTCAGTGCTCTGGAGCTCTGGCCGTGTTTGAGTAGCTGAACGTGATGGTTCTCTTGGGTTAAATCCATGTAAGTGTCTGGTTGTTGAATTCTTAGTGACTAGTGAAACAAAATACTATGAATGTCAAGTTAGAAAATGAGTGCTATTGTGGTATCAACATACACATTCAGTATGTTCATTTTGTGCTAATATTCAAAGTTTTGTGGCTTGTCTTGTAACATCCAAATGCAAGGTTAAGAGAAGAAAAGGAGTGTCAAAACTCTACATATGTCCTTCAGAAATCATACAGGAGCAGATGTTACGTGAAGTGTGGTAATCCCACAGGAGTACTCTCATCTTGGATACTGGAGAGCCGTGGTTTAGCATTGGAGTGTGCTACAATTTGTGCTGGCATAAGGGACTTAAGGGTAACATATAAATATGCAAAAGTGTATTTGAAATGAGTTTAAGAAACAGGGGGCCTTAATCTCACTTAAATCAGGTTCTCTCTGCACATCTTGGAATTACAGGGAGCCTTTAACGTGAGTCTAAATCATTTCCTCTCACTCTGAAATGTCTCTGTTTTGCCACCGTGGTGCGTATAGGTTGTAGCATAAATGGGAATTTGGCTTGGAGTTGGCATGATAACCAAATGAATGAAGAACCAATGTAAAGTCCAGCACTTAAAAGCAGGTGTAATAGGTTGCTAGATAAAATGAGATGGATGGTACTTCTGACAAATGGCAGTTTGGACACTCAACAAATGTTTAGAGGTACATAATATTTACTGTTTTCATTTGTCTGTGGGCTTATGGGTAGAATAAGGGCATTGCTCTGCTAAACTTTTGCTCTGGTAAGCTTGCAGTAAATATGCTGGAATGAAAATGGATGATTTCTGATTCTTTAGGCTGTAGAGATCTGATTTTCTTGAGGTAGTATTTCTCTGAATTGCATTTACTAATTAATTATAGAATCATAGAATAGTTTGGGTTGGAAGGGATCTCTAAAGGTCATCTAGTCCAATCCCCCTGCCATGGGCAGGGACATCTTCAACTAGATCAGGTTGCTCAGAGCCCCGTCCAAACTGGCCTTGAATGTTTCCAGGGATGGGGCATCCACCACCTCTCTGGGCAACCTGTGCCAGTGTTTCACCACCCTCATTGTAAAACATTTCTTCCTTATATCTAGTCTAAATCTACCCCCTTTTAGTTTAAAGCCATTCCCAGTGTTCCAAATGTTATGTGCAAGGTAAAAAGTGGTTCTTAATATTCTGGCCCATACTAAAATGAGTAGCCCAGATATGGTGGTAATAGGTGTATGAATAGCTGTGCTTTAGAGTGGGTTTTTGTATCTCCTTTTTTTAAGACCGAACTCCAAACCTCCTCTTTGGAAGAAGAATCTGATTTTATGAAAAGTTGTATGGAAAATTCTTTTCTTCGGGGGGAAGAAATTGCAGAGCAGTCCTTCTGAAATGACTTCTTATTTAGAAAAATAAAGGTTTTGTTCCTAGTATGTAAAGCTGTTGGGGAAAAAAACCACTGAATACTGGAATATGACTTCTGTAGGCATTTTCTAACTTTTTAATTGCCAAGACTGTTACCAGAGCATGAAATAATTAGTATGAATCTTAACAATTGTATTTGCCACCTTTTAGATGTGCAAATAAAATTTAGAATTCTGTGTAAAAATAAGATGGAAAAAGATAAAATTTTACTTCTCACCTTCTTTTTTTTTTTTTCTTTTCCTTTTTATAATAGGGCTTTATTTGTCCTCTCTGTATGAAGTCTCATGGATCAGCTGAGGAGCTGTTCAAGCACTATGAAGCAGTTCATAATTCTGGCATTGATTCAACTCATGGAGGGGAAGGTCATCTGTCACCGGAAAGGTGCAACAGTACTCATTTGTGCATGTGCTTTTGTGTCAGTGTTGAGCTGCTTCTAATTACACTGAAGGCTGTATTAATTTGAACACTTAATTATGTAGTCAAGTATTTAAATGTTCATGCCCCATTTCCAACTACAATTAAAAAGCCACTTGAATCTTATACTGGCTGATATTGATCTGACAATAAATGAAAATCAGATACACATGTTTATGTTGTTAATTAAATCACCTGTTTCTCGTGCAGCTGACAATGCAGTATTACACACTGGAATGATTTTTAGGAGTGTGGCAGAAAAAATACAGGTTCCTCCTAATTTCCAGCAAAGAGCTGAAATTTCATCTTTTGAGGGGGGGGGAGGACAACCCTGAAGATAGAGAAGAAAACTGATTTTGTCCCTGGGTAGTTAGGGTACTTACTGGGTAATTATAACATCAGTATTTGCCTAAATAGGTTCCTGTATTACCTAGTTATTTCCAAATGTGAGAAGTTTCTGTCTGTGTCACTAATTCTCCTTCTGTGTTCCAGAAACTGCATGCTGATCTTCAGAAATTTTCTCTAATTTATTTTATTTAACTGTTTGGTCAAAACTGTATTGTTAGATACATTCCTAGGAAACATATCAGGTGGTTTTATTTTTGAGAGTAGCGGTATGTAGCAGGAACTGATAATGTGAAACTTTCTCTAGAAAAGTTTCACTGAGTAGTCTGCCTGTGTTGGAGTAATCCCTCGCGTTGGTTTGGGGATCTTTTTCTTAGGGGTAAAATTTACGTAGGTTTTCTTTTGCTTCCTGCTAGTTCTTTTTCTGTTCATTGTTTATTTTGGACTGTTATAAATGACAGTCCATGTTGCTGTTTTGTCACACCCCTCCAAACTCACTTGGTTTGTACGCAGCGGTGTCAGAGTGAGCAGCTGCCTGTGGCCTCATTCAGCAAACAGAGGTACCACACTGCACAGCCCCGCGGGTGGTCACCTGCTAACAGAGCTGGCTTCTGCCGATGCTAGGAAGTAAATGGTTCAAATGTTTTGTCACTAGTAGAAATGTGACCCAAAATGATAAATAATTACATTGGAAGGAATACATACATTTATGTAACTTAGTCAAGAGAGGGCAGTTCTTTGGTGAGAAAAGAGTGTGGAAGGTAACGTATTTCAGTTGTTGTCTGAATGAAGATCCATATCTCCCCAGTATTATGCAGAGCCGGCAAGCCAGTAAGAGCCAGCATTAGCAGAGGTCATGTCTTCATGCATGGACGGGCCCTTCCTTGTGGATAGCTGCCTTCTCTCCCAGCTGCTGCAACAAACAAAATTAGGGCTTTTTATAGGAGAAAGTGGTAGGGTGCAAGTAGACTTATATTGGGTTTCTTATGTGCACATTTATTCAAGAATGAGTATTTCTTCTCTGTCTTATTTAAGTCTTTTTGGAGTGATATAACTTAGACCTGAAATGATACTCTTAGCAGAATAATAGCATTCACATGGGGGAATTATTGGCCATAACTGTATTGTTCATATAGTTTATGAAAGATTTATACATGCAAGTTTCCAATGTCAACCAGATGTTAGCTGGTGAAATTTATTTATTTTTTTCCTGGCTTTTGGCAGTTTAAGGACAAGTGGTTTTGTTTTCTCTCGTATAATTGAAAAAGTGGACAAGCTCAGGGAGTTTGGATGGGGTGAAGGGAGTCTGGAGTGAGCTGTTGTGTAACACATGAGCTATTTCATCCTACTAGTGTGGCATTCTTTAACGTTTCTCAGTTGCATGGTTGCTTGAGAGAACTCTCATTCAACATAAAGTTTTTCCAAGACTTGGAATACTGTTAAAGAAATATTGCAGCCTGCAGCAGGGAGCCACCCTGTTAGCGCTCTAGGAGTGAAGTTTACATGTAATTCATAGGACCAAGATTGGGAGGTGAAGTTCCTTATTTAGGCAATAGAGAAAGCTAGGTGCTATGAATTACATTGTGTCCTCTTCCCCCCACCCTCCCAATGAATTACCATAATTAAGTGCGAAGAGTAAATCGTTTAACTCTCCCCAGTGCTATTTCTGGGATCCGGATGGGATCCACCCCAGGGGGCTGAGAGAGCTGGCGGAGGAGCTCGCCAGGCCGCTCTCCATCATCTATCAGCAGTCCTGGTTAACGGGGGAGGTCCCGGATGACTGGAGGCTGGCCAATGTGACGCCCATCTACAAGAAGGGCCGGAAGGAGGATCCGGGGAACTACAGGCCTGTCAGCCTGACCTCAGTGCCGGGGAAGATTATGGAGC